AAATACTATATAAAGACATATTCAAGGCCGAATTTCAAGGTCGCCCCTGAAATCATATTATTTAATGCGTTTAATAAATCGTTATAATTTTGGAACCTGTATTTTTGTATTTGATGTAATTTTGCATTTTGTGTGGTGTTAATCCGAAGTGATACTGGTCACCAACTGAGCACTTGTTTGTTGAAACTAAATCACTCTTATAAACCCCACCCCCCGCACAAAAAAAACTTTAAAATACATCTAAAGATCTGCAATTCATTCTGACTTTAAATCTTTTATAAAGAAGTCATGTTCGCTCTAATAAAGACCTCAGTATGGGTTTTTTTAAATGTTCCACAAAAAACATTATCTTTTGATATTTCTAGAATTGGTTACTACAAAAAAAAATNGGTGTCCTTTTACATGGGTAACATACAGGGTGTCCTTTTACGTGGGTAACATCCAAGGTGTCTTTTTACGTGGTTAACATACAGGGTGTCCTTTTACGTGGATAACATACAGGGTGTCCTTTTACGTGGGTAACATATATACAGGGTGTCCTTTTACTTGGTTTACATACAGGGTGTCCTTGTAAGTTGGTAACATCCAAGGTGTCTTTTTACGTGGGTAACATACAGGGTGTCCTTTTACGGGAGTAACATAAAGGGTAACATACATGGTGACAGAAAGGGTGTCCTTTTACTCTTGCCAATTTTCAAATTGCTGTAACTTTGCTATTGTTTGGAATTTTTTCAATCTGTAAAAAATTTTGAATTATCAAATTATGAGTGTTTTGTTTTAGAACTGGATTCACTTTTTTTTTTTAACAAGTGTTAATAATAACCGTTTTTTATTTAAATGCATTTATCAGCACTAGTCGAACATTGACTAAAACTCTTCGAAGTATATCGGCCGGGTTGACTTTTAAGAGTAATAACCATAGATAAAGATAGATTGCGCATAAGACGACATTTTTCATCTTGAAAGATATAAATGTACAGAGATGTTTTAAAGATATTCCTATTATATAGATTAACTAGGTCGGTTCTGAACGTTGGCTGTTCTTATGGTGTATAGGAGTGCTGTAGAGAGAAATTTAAGTTAGTTTAGTCCTTCTCATGTCCTTCTTCAGTTCTCGTCAATATGATATATTGCTCAGTGAAATATAGTTGTTCAAACAGTTAAATTAAAACACCAAACCACCCCGCTTATCATTAAAGTACACTTTGACCCCTAGAAGTATTAGTTCGCGGACTGTACAATTCTTGGTGATTTTGCGTACATAAGCTATCTATGTTTATTTATTTATCTATGGTAATAACTCTTCAACGAAAGGAGGTATCGACGAATTTTAAAAACTCTGAGGTTACCTTTTTACCTTGGCTATCTTCGTGCACAACCCGCCTAACCACAGAAAGGTGACACAGCGCGTGAAACGTTTATCAAAATACAGGAAAACTGATATTTTTTCTTCTGCAATACACATTTTTCCAGATTGTAAAAAATTTCAAAAAATGAAAGAGAAGTAGCTGTTTAAAAATTTTCAGAATTAATCTGCCACCACCGGCCACCCTGTAGTTTCTCAAGCTGAAAATTGATTATTTTTATTATTTTAAATGTGACTTTTTTATTTTTGCTGAAAATACAAAAAAAAAACTAATTATCAGAATTCAGAATTTATAACTTTAAAATTTAAAATTTTCGTCATTGTTACTCACTGCTTGGATCAAGGTTTAGGGTACTGTACTGAATCAAACGTGAAACTTTATAAATGGAGCCCCCA